TCTTTGGTGGCTGTCAGCTCCGGACCCCCACCATCACTCCAAAACCCCATTGTCACTAACTGCAGCTCCTGGTGGATAATGTTGCTAAAGACTCGTGAGCTACTGGGGGCCTGGCTAGTGTGGGGCTCTGGGTGTTTTCCCTCTCGTAAGGCATTAACATATGACAGGAGGCAGTTCCTGGAGAAACACTATTCTCTATATTTGCCTCAAGTATTTATTTGTCAGTGGGCTGCAGGTTATAAAGGAATTTAACGTAAGGCCGCCTGGGGGCTCAGTCGATTAAGCATCAGCTCAGGCAGGTCATGATCTCCCAGTTGGAGATTGGAGCCCCGCGTCGGGCTCTGTGCTGACAACTCAGAGCCTGGAGCTGTTTCCGATTCTGTTTGCCTCTCTCCCTCTGTCCCTCCCCCACTCGTGCTTTGTCTGTCTCTTTCTCTCTGTCTCTCTCTCTGTCTCTCAAAAATGAATAAACATAAAAAAAATTTTTTAAATAGAAATTTAGTGTTATTTACATTTCCTTCTTGCCTTTGTTCCCACATCACTGTGGAGGGGGAGGGGGAGGGGGCTCCGGGAAACCAAGTCCATGGGTTTCTGGAGATGAAGCTGTTGGTAACATTGGCTTTTTCTTGTAATTTACTAAGACGTTTGTAAACTGCTGGAGACTCCGGTCCCCGCAGGACTGTGATCTCTATCGGTCAGTCATTGGATTTTTCCTTTCCTTTGTTCCTGGGCAGCCAGGAGAGCCTGAGGAATGTCACTCGGACCCCACGGAGGGAGGGGGGAGGGGCGCTGGGTGCCAGCTTTCCTTATGCTCCCTCATCCTTTGCGAACCCAGTTCTGGCTCCAGAGCCCCCTCATCCTGGCTGAGCTTGGAAGCCCCTTTCTGGGACTAGCTGGTCCCTCCCGCCCCGGCCATGGACCCTGGCTGCCCGAGTGCTGTCTGGCTGTCAGTGCGGACGATGGGTGCGAGGCCTCACCAGCCGGCCCCCCTTCCCCACCCGATGTGATTTGATGTGGGAGCTAATGGTCAAAAAGAATTTTTTTTAAATATTTTTATTTATTTCTAGGAGAGAGAGAGAGAGACAGCGTGAGCAGGGGAGGGTCAGAGAGAGAAGGAGTCACAGACTGAAACAGGCTCCAGGCTCCGAGCTGGCAGTCAGCACAGAGCCCGACGCGGGGCTCGAACCCACAAACCGCGAGCTCATGACCTAAGCGAAAGTCGGACGCTTAACCGACTAAGCCACCCAGGTGCCCCCGGTCAAAAAGAATTCTTGAGGAGCTTATTGATGCAAAAAAAGGTGGTTTTATTATAGCCCGGGGACTGGAGCCCAGGAGCTGCGGGAGGAATTGTGAAGAGCCAGGGGTTATGAACTTTTAGGGGAGGGTGAGGGTAGAGACAAAGGAAGTTTATAAAAGGCTTTCTTATGTTAAAGGAGACTCGCAGGATCCTGGGGGCTGGGCTTTTGTCGAGCTGAGCTTGTAAGACCGTGGGGGGTCCCTGGAGGAATGTCTTACTCCACCCGCCTCAAGTCTTCCGGTTCTAAGGAAGGTTGATTTTATCTACACTTCTGCCTTTGTCCCTCACATCACTCCCCACCCCCTGAAGAATTTTGACTCTTAAATCTTCAAGATTCCTGAGGGTGGAAGGTCTCATCTTCTGTAGCTCCTTCCTGCTGAGTAGGGGTGTAGACATGTTCCTACCATTGGCCAACATTGGTCAGTTGGAAAATACATATCCTATATCTACACCTCTATCTTCTATCTAGGAGTTACCCGAGGCAGAGGCAGCCATTCCAAGGTGGACAACGTCTGTGAACCTCTCTTGTGAGAAAGGGTTGTCTGTGGGCTGGAAGGTAATGCGAAAAGGAGTCTTGGTCCTAGGCACAGGGACACCAAAAAGACAAGAAAATATTATTGTAATATCATAATATTTTTACAACAAAAAGAAGCCCAGGGGCGCCTGGGTGGCTTAGTCGGTTAAGCGTCCGACTTTCGCTCAGGTCATGATCTCGCGGTCCGTGGGTTCGAGCCCCGCGTCGGGCTCTGTGCTGACTGCCAGCTCAGAGCCTGGAGCCTGTTTCAGTCTGTGACTCCCTCTCTCTCTGACCCTCCCCTGCTCACACTGTCTCTCTCTCTCTCTCTCTCCTAGAAATAAATAAAACATTAAAAAATTAAATTAAAAAAAAAAAAAAAGAAGCCCAATTAAAAAAGCCTTTGATAGTTGACAAAAAATCTTCCTCCAGTCCAGGGCTTTAACCAATCTCTGAAAGAAAGAGAAGGATCACTTGAAGTGCAGTTTGAGTCTTTATATGTTTTAGCAGTCCGTTAGGCTTTTGCGATATCAGGAATGTCCACACAGCGTTCTGTTTTTGGGCTCCACATCCATCTTCCACCTTGCGCAGCAGTTAAAACGTCTAACGCGATTCTGAGAGTCATTGAAGGGCCTAATTGTGTAACGGGTGGTGTCAGCCATGATATACTTGGTTTTGTTTTATAAGCAATCAGGTAATTAATAAGAGGCACCATTATGGAAACAAAAGAAAAATATAAGTTAATGGTTGGAGCAAATTCCAAACTCAGTGTTTTGAGTCTCAGGTGCTTAAAATCTAATATTTACAAAGATGGGTTATTGAAACACATTTTCTCTCTATCATCGTCCTTTGTAATCAGAGATTAACCAAACCAAGACTAATGTGTTTGTAAAACTAGTCCAGTTTTAATAAACTTGGCTTAATTATTTACATACGCTCAGCAGGAATCGTGATGGACCATGTAGATCTTTCAATATCTGCTTTGCTGGAACTTTATATGAGGGCAATGAGTTTCTGGGTCTTCTCCCCAGTCTACACGGCACTAGCTTCCAGCCTAAAGCACGCTTTCTCCTGCCCATGAGTAGTCACGGGCTAGAGGATCACAACCCGGGCAGTTGCCATGAAAGTGTTCCATACTTTCAAGAATAAGGATAAGGCCATACTTCTGAAAACACCCTTGAAGTGAGAGTAAACAGAGGGGAGAGGACATACTCACCAAGTCCGCACTGAGGCTTGGAGTCCAGAGGCGAAGACTCAGGCCCCACGTTGAGCGTCAGTGATGTGGTTTATGCTTGAACCCATGGGCGAAGGGCCAAGAAAGAATTCTTGAGCCATTTTTAATGCAAAAGGTGGTTTTATTATAGCACAGGGACAGAAAGAGCTGCCGCGGGCAGAGAGAGCGGCAGAGATAGTGAGGAGTGATTGGTTATATACTTTTACTTTGGGAGGGGGTGTGGAGCAGGTGACAAAGGAAGTTTCTAAGAGGCTCTTCTCCTGTTGAAGAGACATTGTCAAGCTAGGGTTGCTTCTTCCCCAGTAAGGCGTCAGCATGAGGACAGTAGAGAGACGCTGGAGGAACGTCAGAGTCGTGCTGCCTCAGGTATTTGCCACTGGGCTGCAGGTTAGAAGGAAGTTTCATTTTATCTACATTTCTTTTGCATTATGAGGTGCAGAGGTCACATGGGAACCACCCGACCCACGGGCCAGGGCGGCACCTCTGCCTCTCTGTCTTTGCCCCAGACTGGCCGGGCCTCCCTGCGCCCCAGACCAGCCTCCCTGTGCCTCGGCACATCGCACCCTCTCCCGGCCTCTGCCTCCACCCCTGGAAGTGCTGGACAGCTCTCTCGAAGGAAGGCTGGGCTGTGGCCAGGCTCTCCATGACCCTGGAGGGCTGACTTCCGCATTGTTTCCGCAGTGGCTCCCTTTCTGGCGGAGATTTTATCTGCTCGCTGGGAAGCCTCCTCCCCCTCCAGAGCTCGGCCAGGGAAGTGGGGGAGGCCGTCAGCCCCGGCTCCTCTTGCTCTGGGTGGGCTGGGGCCCCTCCCCATGCTGGGTGCCCAGCCCCTTGGCCTGCTGCCTTTGGGGCTAAAGGATCCCAGTGTCTCGGGGGTCCTCGCCAGCCCTCTGCTCAGGCTCAGGCGCGGCCAGGCCCTAGTGGGTGGGCGAACAGTTCTGAGGAAAAGGGCACTGGAGGGACGCCACCGCCTCGTTCTCGCCCGAAGCCCACCGAGCAGCTCCGCTGGCGTGACGTCCCCTCCCTAAACGCTCACACAGCACAGGTGACACGCACATGACACCCGCCCACACTCTGCACACGACACACAGCTCTACACACACAACACACAGGCGTACAAGGGACACGCACACCAGAGGCATCCACCACACACAGGCACATGCACACGGCTCCCCTGACACCCTGACAGGAGGCCTTCCTGCCAAGGGTGACCAGCAGCCGGGCCCTGGAGCGGCCATCACCCACTGCACAGAAAGGAGCCCGGGCTGCAGGACGGGAGGTACTTGTTCCCGACTGTGCAGCAGGTCCAGGTGGGACAGCACTGAATCTAGGACAGAAAGATCCACTCTGACTCAAGTCAGTCAGCTTTCCCGCGGCCACTGCTGTTCAAGCCCGTGCCCAGGATCCTCCCTCAGGCAGGAGCACGTCCAGGCTGGGCTGGGGGAACGGAGGCGGACCTGGGGCCTCGCCCCGTGTGGCGCCTGGAGACCCTGGACGAGGAGGCTGGGGACCGGGCCGGAGACGGAGCGCGTGTTCCAGGCTGGGCTCTGGCCCCAGGGGACATCTAACGTGCAGTGGGGACCTTGGACCAGGGTCTGCGTGCAGATCTGGGAAAGCCTGCATCAGTGATTTCCTGTTTTCGACCCTGGTTATGTAAGAAGTTAGCGTCTGGGGAAGCTGAGCGAAGGGAATATAGGAACTGTGTACTATTTTTGAAACTTCTTTGTAAGGATGAACTGATTTCAGAATGAAAGCCTGAGCGGTCTTAAAAGCACACGGAGCTCTGCCCAGCCCTTGTCCGGATGGCGCTGGGGACCCTGGAGAAAACACTCCAGATGGATGAAAACTCAGATTCAAAATGGAGAACTTAACAATTTTAAGAAGAAACATAGGAAAATCTCTTCATATATTAACAGAAAATATTTTGAAGAAACCCACTAATACATTTAAGAATATTAACAGTGAAAAAGTTTGCCTTTAATCATGATACAGCAACGAAGAAGAAAAGACACATACGGACATACTTGGAATAATCAGTACCGGTTATCAAGATGGACCGATTACCAAGCCCAAGGAAATTAAGGGGTAGGGTGGCTCTGGCTGTGGCCGCTGCAGGGATGGGACCCAGTGTGCGCCGGGGCCCGGTCACCAGAGAGAAGTCACTGGGGCAGGTCCAAGGTCACCCGCGAACAGCATGGTGAGGTCATCAGGCTGGAGACTGACCCACCTGCCACGGTTCCTCTAACTCCTCTCCCCTGCCCTGCATACACGCCCTCGCTCAGGGTGTGTGGGTTGCGTGGGTGTGAAGGGGGGAGGGAACCAGCCCAGGCCCCCTCCCCCCCCCCACCAGCCCCTGCCTCTGCCTAGGATGCCCCTGGGCATCGGCCACTGGGCCCTGGGCAGATGCCCCCGGGGAGAGTCCCGGCAGAGCCGACCCTGGTCATAGCCCCTCGGGCCACGGGCACTTGCAGGGCTGAGGGGAAACCAAGCGGAAGCCCAGGCCCCTCCCAGGCTGGCCGCGCGAGCCACCCCCCCTGCTCTAGCGGCCGAATGGCAAGCAAAGAACACCGGGGCGTTGAAAGCCTTTATTCTGTCTCGGTTGCTGGCACCCCGCTGGCGGGACCCCGGGCCGCGCTGCGGGCTCCGCTTTCCTAGGGGCTCCCAGTCCAGGAGGGGCTTGGCGGTCCCTGCATCGCGGGTCAGCGGTCAGTTGATGGTGTTTGCAAAAGGAGGCAGGCTTGTGGGCGGGGCTGGCGGGGGTGGGGGGCAGGGGGCAGGAGGGCCTGCGCGCGCGCGCGAGCGGGTGCCGGTACGTGTGCGCGCGCAGGGGCCGGCGCGCGCGGGCGCACGTGCACGCATGCGCGTGGGAGCCCGCTCGCCGGCCGCGGCGCGCGCGGCGTGGGGGCGCTGCTCCCCGGGCGCGCCGGGCGCTCACAGCAGCGCCCAGAGGAGCGCAGGCCCGAGGCTGAGCAGGAGCCCGCCCGCCAGGGCCCAGAGGCTGCGCCCCGCCCGGGCCACCCCGTTACACAGGTCCTTTTCACAGCACGACAACCCCTCCACTTCGAACTTCATCAGGCCGTCCGGGATCTGGCTCCCTGGGCTGGTTTTCGGGGAGAGCTGATTCAAGATCTTCGAGACCTCCTCACAGGAGGGGGCGCAGCCCTTGTGCTGAGTCTTCACCTTCATTCCTGTGGGTGAGGAGGGAGGAGCCTGGCACAGGAGGCCCCCTGAGGCCGTCCCCATCACCCACTCCCTGGGGGCACGTCGCCCCCCAGTCCTCCGCCGGGGTCCCCTCCTGCCCACCCAGCCCCCACTCGCCCCCCCAGGCCAGCCGCCCTCCGTGCAGATGGGGACACAGGGAGGCTGGGGGAGGCGCCCTGCCCTACCTACCCTAGTCAGAGCTGCTGGGGGAGCCTCAGGGCAGAGCTCCCTGAACCTCCCCCATCCTCCGGGGGCTGGGGACTCACCATTGGCCAAGGTCACGGCTATGTTACTGCTGAAGCAGACGCCAGACATGGCACATGGGCTGGGCTGGGGCTGGCACTGGTTGTTGCTCACCAAGCCCAAGCAGCTGTAGCACTGCAGGCTGAGGCCTGGGCCGGTGGGGGCACAGGAAGGCTGGGCTTAGACCCCTGGGTCGGGGAGTGCCTAGAGGGCAGCCCCTCACGGGCACAGAACCACACAGCCTCTCGCGGGGGCATCGCCACCCATCCGCCCCAGCGCAGGCCCCTGCCCGGTGCCCCGATGCTCACCACGCTCCCAGCTTAGCAGGAACACCAGCAGAGCAAGCTCGATGCCTCTCATGGCTCCTGGAGATGACACGTGTAGAGGGGCTCCCTGGGGGACCCCAGACTCAGGTTCCTACCTCCTGGACCCAGGCCTCCCTGGCTGACCCCTCCTGGGCCCCCGCGGCCAGGATTCGGATGGGGTTCCCTCCCGGGTCGCTCACTTACAAGCGTCAGGCTCCCTTCGTGGCGAGCTGGCATCTGGAGCCACTTCCCTGGTGGCCTAATAACTTGCTCTGCAGTCTGTGGGTGCCCCACCCAGAGGAAGCTGGGGCGGGGCTCTCCCGTCTCCTCCCCTTCCCGGAGATCCAGGCGCCAGACCCCAGGCAGGACCCTGAGTCCCAGACCAAGAAGGGGTGTCACCTAGCTGAGCAACAGTGGTTTTGGGAAAATTCTAGGAGGAAGCTGGGTGCCCCTCCCTCCTCCGCCCTCCTCCCCAGGTTTCTGGCTCCACCTTCAGAGATCATCTGTTTCCCTGTGCTCCCCCAGCACCCCCTCTGCCGTCCCGCAAGCCTGTGGTGTCCTGCATGCATTGTACCCTCCAAAATACCACCAAAAATCACAAAAGCAGAAAAAATTTTTTGAATGTTTAAATGCATTGTTTTTTCATTTTCCTGCTGCACTTGACTTCCATGTAGTAATGGGTGTCAAGCAGCTCATTTTATGGCCTCTCCACCTTGTACATTTGTTCTTAGGTAGAATTTATAATTTATATAAACTATTTAAAAAATATTTATTTGGGGCACCTGGGTGGCTCAGTCAGCTAAGCGTCCGACTTCGGTTCAGATCATGATCTCACGGTTCGTGGGTTCCAGCCCCACGTCGGGCTCTGTGCTGACAGCTCCGAGCCTGGAGCCTGCTTCAGATGCTGTGTCTCCCTCTCTCTCTGACCCTCCCCTGCTCACAGTGTCTCTCTCTCTCTCAGAAATAAATAAAACATTTAAAAGATATTTATCTTTGGAAGCGCACAAGCGGGGCAGGGGCAGAAAGAGGGGGGACAGAAGATCCAAAGTGGGCTCTGTGCTGACAGGCTGACAGCAGTGAGCCTGATGTGGGGCTTGAACTCACAACCGCGAGATCCTGACTTGAGTCAAAGTTGAATGCTCAGCCGACTGAGCCTCCCAGGCGCCCCTAGAATTTAAATTATTTTTTTAAATATTTTTTTTAATTTATTTCTAGGAGAGAGAGAGAGACAGCGTGAGCAGGGGAGGGTCAGAGAGAGAGGGAGATACAGACTCTGAAACAGGCTCCAGGCTCTGAGCTGGCAGTCAGCACAGAGCCCGACGCAGGGCTCGAACGCACGAACCGCGAGATCATGACCTAAGCGAAAGTCGGATGCTTAACTGACTAAGCCACCCAGGCGCCCCCTAGAATTTAAATAATCTTAAACATCCAATGGACATAACATTAGCTTATATGACTAGCAAATTCAAACAGAATAAAAATGTATGCTCATATTATACTCCGTGACGAGCACTCAGGAGGCATGGCTGTGTTTACTAAACCAACGATCTCCAACTAGACTTACTTACCCAAGATTTACCTAAATCACATAAACTTGAACAGCGTTTGGTTCGTTTTGAAATTTATGAGTTTTAGGGATATTTTGTCTATGTGAGCCCTCACTTTAAGCAAATTAGAACAATTCTCTGCACAGGCGTTCATAAATTATTTTGATGATCTTATCCAAAGGCAGGAGAAGATTATACACACACACACATACACACACACACACACACACACACACACACACACACGGCATAGTGTACATATAAACATCTGGAAAGATACAGATAGATATGGTGTAGCTTTATTCCAAAATTTCAGCAGAAGTCCAGGCAAAAACAGAGCCGAAACCCCCCTGGTTTATGTAAAACAGTTGGTTCTTACCTTCGCCCCACTTTCTATTTTTCTGTGACCCCCATTTCTGCAGAGGAGATCATGAGAGGGTCCTAAGCTCAACATGAGGGAGTCGCTTCACATGAGTGTTTCTGGAACACGCCTCGAGCATTCCTCCTGGCCCGCTGTGCTGTGTGGTCTCCTAGGGGCGGGGACGACACCCGGGTTGAGGTGCTGAGGGGTCGGCAAGCGGTCGTCGTCCGTGCCTCTCAGCCTCCGTGGTTGTCGTCGGGGTCCCTGCGTCCCTGAGGGGCCCTGAGGGTGGCAGGCAGCCTCAAGTTTGAGTGACCGTAGAGGCTGAGCATGGGGCAGAAAGGAGACAGAGGGGAGGCCGGGGTCTGATAGAGAAGAGTTGAGGGACTCCGGGTCCCTGGCAGGGAGGCGGGGGGGCGGGGAAGGGGAGCGTGGGCACAGACAGGCCTTAGAGGAACTAGTTTGGGGAGACCTTCAGTTTCTTCAGGAGGTCACTGAAGGTCCAGTTATCTTAGTAAAATCTTGCCACCAGGGAGGAAGTGAACAGCCAGCACCATCGGCGCTAAGCGGGGGCTGGATGGGGGTCTGAGCAGGGGAGGGGGGCTCCCGGAGAGTGGCCTCTTGCCCGGAAAGAGCATCCTGAATGGCAAGGGGCTACATCTCAACCAAGTCTGACCTCAGGGCCAAGCTCCATGTTCTAATCCAGGGCGCACGTGTGACAGGCCCTGTGGTGGCCCTCCCACCCCGCCAGCCCCACCCCATGGTACTCGAGGCTTCGGCCCGGGAGCCCCTTCTCCGCAGGGCCAGCTGCAAGCCCCCAGGGGCGCCCCAACACGGACGGCACTAACCCTTGCGTACACGATGTGTTTCCCTGTGTGGACGTACCTATGAGAAAGTCTGATCTACAATGAGCCGCAGCAAGAGATTGACCCGCAGAAGTGACAAGACAAGGAGGCGTCCCGTGAGCCCGCGCTCTCCCGCGGCACCTGTCTGCCCTGGCCCTTCTCCCGAGCGGGTGGGACATGGAATGGCCACGTGACCGAGGCAGCGAGGGAGGGGGAGGACACACCGCCTGCGGGCCGCGCCCACACGGTGACAGGAGGCGGGAGGCAGAGTCCAGGCAGAGCGAAACTGCAGCCAAGGGACCATTGTGCCTCATCCCGTGACTATCTGGAGGCGGCCTGTGAAGAAATAATTAAGGGCACGTGAGGGCATCTGGACGAGCACTACTCCCATCAGACCCACGCCCTCAGAAGAAGACATTTGGACACATGTCGAGTGTCAGCACCGGAAGAGGTCAGGGACGGGACGGGACCACCCGTAGACCGGGGGCCCTGTCCCTGGAAGGTGCGCTCTGCCAGCCCCTCCTGGAGCGGGCGCGGTTCCAAGACGCAGCCTTCACAGAGGAACCTGGCATTGGGACGCTCTGGACCCCGTTAGGGCCTCTGCATAAACTTGGAAGGCGAGGCAGGCAGGCCCCGAGATCTGGGGTCTCGTGGCACCCACGGCAAGCCTCGCGTGTGAGTTCCTTTGCTGATAAACCCGTCACCCGCCTGCCTCCCTGCCCATCTCCCCCTGCCCTCTGTGTACCCAGCCAGTTTGCAAACCACCAGCCAGAGACGAATGTTGCATGGACAGCTGTCCCTACCGCGCTCTAGACCAGCACCCGGAGCACCGGCTCAGGGCGCGGACCCAAGGCTTCAGAGAGGCACACCTGGGGGCAGGGACGGGGGTGGGGGGAGGGGGGTCTAGTGACGAATCTGATCCTTCGGGCTCTTAACTGAAGAGTGACGCTGACACTTTCTCCGGTGGGAGGAAGACGATGCTCAAGATCCTACAGTAGGAGCTCGGCTGCTCGCCAGAGGGGGGAGAGGGTGAGCCCCACTTCCTGAGTGGAGGGCACAGCCTGGGGCTCATACCTGGTGACCGAGGGGGGTGGGGCTTGGGGCATCGCTGAGGGCAGTCCAAGCGGGGGGGGGGGGGGGGGGGGGGGGGGGGGGGGGGCCCTGGCTGAGCTGGCCCTCCGCTGCTCCTGTTCCAGATGGGCCTCGGGCTTCCGGTGAGTCACGGTCATGGGCAGAGGTGAGGGGTTCCATCCGCTCTTGAGTGTGGCAGGAACCTTACTAAACTCACCTAGCGGGGAGCTCCGTCCATTGAACGTCGACTTCAGCTCAGGTCATGATCTCGTGCTTTGTGGGCTCGAACCAACTCTGTGCTGACAGCTCAGAGCCTGGAGCTGCTTCGGATTTTGTGTCTCCCTCTCTCTCCGCCCCTCCTCCAATGGTACTCTGTCTTTCCCTCTCAAAAATAAATAAACATTAAAAAAAATCATTAAGTAAATAAACTCACTTAGCAAGACTCTTTGCTAAAATTGGGCAGTCCAGGCCGAAGAGAGGACAGAGGCAAGGGGCATTCCCAGGGCTCAAAGGCTCCCGACAGAATTTGGTTGAGGGTGGAGTCTTGGTCAGACGGTACCTGAAAATAAGCCAGCAGATAATGGCAATGACTCTCATTGATAACTAGTCCAGTCCATCATAATCCGGCCTGCAAATTTCCCCCGGAGCAAGTCACGCAGATTCACAGGCTTCCGCTTGGTCTCAGAAAGCCCTTGCCGGACCTCGGCCCCCACATTTTCTCTTTGCTACTCTTAGGGGACAGGAACCCTGACGTGAGCACGTCCCAGGCAGGAGTGGTTGTCCCTGCCAGGGGACATTTTGGCCGTGTCCAGGGTGTGGAGACGTGGGTGAAGGGAAGAGGGCTGCGTCTGAGAGAATGCACAGGAGACGCAGCAAATCTGAGAGGTTCAGATGTCCAAGGCGCCCAAGAGGCAGTGTGGACGGGGAGTGAGGTGGGAGGTACGTTGTGAGCATCCATCGTGTACCGCACAACCTCGGGGAAACGCCCCAACCCTCCTGGTGGGCGCTGTTCTACCATCTCCCGGCCACGGCCACGGGTGGCCGGAGCGGTGATGTGCACACACTCGGGGCTCAGAACTGCTCTCTGCCCCAGAGCTGAGGAGCCGGGGCAAGCCCCCTCCTCCTGGTCTGTATTGCTGTATTCACGCCGCTCACCGGGTGTGGACCTGGGGGTGTCCACCCCGTTCGGGAGGCTGAGGCCCGTCTGGGTGCAGCGCGGCGCTCACATTACCGCAGACGCAGTGCTGCGAGCCTCAGGGCCAGCCTCTGTGTCCTGCCCCGTCCCGTCCGGCGGGGGGGACATCCTGCCTTTCTGGCATCAGAAATGTTCCAGGCTCCTTTGTTCTTCCCCGGCCCCAGCCCTGGAGCGGCCGTTTCTCCCAGGAGCCCTGCTACTTCTTGGTGGAGAGCCGTTCCAGGGTCCTAGACACACTGCGGCACATCCATGCCTGGGCCTATGGGAACCACGAGTTCAAGCCAGCGTCTGCGTGTGATCCAACACGGGGGTGGGGGGGTGGGGGGGGGCTTCCCTCATCGCCTCTCTCACAGGCTCCACTGCCTGCAATGTGCCCTCTATTCACTCAGTC